TTTCCAAAAATGGAAAGAAGTGGGGGGAGGGCAGCTGTGTTTGATACACTGTATGTAGCAATATCTCAGCAAATAGAAAATGTAGGAGGTTCTTATGTTATATTCTAGCTTGTCAGTATTGGTAATTTGACTTCCTAGTTTGTAAGAAACTGTAGACTTGGTGTTTGTACGTCAAAAAATTAATCTGAAAGCAAGGTGTATTCAACAAACCATGTGACACACAAAAAATCAATATTTAGGATTTTTTTAAATATTTACTTTTAAATTAAGAAATTAACAGATACCCCTTGTGTAGTTCTGCACAAAATTCAAAACAAACAAACAAAAGACTTTAATTTAGTACTTTCATCAATCCTGTCAGTGAAGTTTCACACAGGATTTCATTGGAACTTCTAACATGCAAAGGATATAGCAGAAGTTCTTATTAATAATGTAATAAATTTTAAATTATTGTAGATACACAATATATATATCTATGTATACTCTGGAAAATTTACTAATTAAATAAATTTATTGTGCTAGACAACCATGCCATTTTGCTGCACCAACAAACGTGTTCAGATATGATATGTATAATGAGTTATGGTAATTAATATAGTAAATTTTTGGTTTTAATATACCAAACATTAAAGTATACATGACCATTAAGAAATGAAAAGTACAAAATGATGAGATAAAAAAATTTGGGCCTTTTGCCTTTCTATATTCTTAATGTAGGGAAATTTTTGAAGCCCATCAGAATCTAATTCATGTTTATTCAAAATAAATTCAGTACCTGTAATTAGAAAAAAGGTTGCATCTACATATAATTGTGACCTTTTGAACATGATAGTATGCTTATTCAAGACACTGGAAAGGTGCATGATAACTTCATCTACAAACACTTACTGATAAATTCCTTAGTGTATATTTTAGAAATGCACCAGTTAGATACATTTATCTTGCAAGGTACTTAACTATATTAGAAAAGCAGCTAATTGTAGCCTTCATTCAAGCATGTTTAATGAGTTAATGTATTTAATATGTATGTGTGGATTTACAATTCAAAACTCATTTTAATTGCATATTGATGACAGTATGCATGTCTTTGTAAGCTTTTACATTACATAACTATCTGTATTATTACTGAGTTTTCTGCTCACTGATTTATGAAGTACATTTGAGCGAATAATGAATTAGTTGTGAAATCAAGATGTTTGTGGATCTTAGTAAAAATATAATTCCTTTAAATATTGGAAGGATCCTGGAATTTTGTTCTTTTCAAATGTATGAACCTTGCTTTTAAATATATTTGAATTATTTGTTGCTGTAATGTGCATATATATACAAATTGTAGTTAAGCCCTGATAATTGGTTTAAAAGTTGCAGGTTGTTTAAAAACTTGTCAGAAGGTGTTAATAGCAAATGAGATATTTATATTGTAATTTAGTTCATGTGGTGGATGAATAAAAATTAATTTTAATTCTTTATCATTCAGATAAGTATCGCATAACAGGCTTAAAATTTTTTGATATCAGTAGATTAACAGTGACAAATTATCCAAACTACTCCCGACACCATTCCACCACAAAGAAATGAATTCGTGCAATCAAGTTAAATTAAGAGGATGAAAATTTAATTCATTCTTTTCTATTTTTATTCCTAATCACAATGTGCATTGTTATTTATATTTTTATATTATTTCTTGTGTGATTTCTGTTTAGATTGATCACTTTAAGTAATTAATGAGATGGCCTATAGAGGATATGGAGGACCTTGGGAACAGGGAGGCTCATTTTTTGGAATGAATCCTATGGGTGAATATGATCGATACAGGCATCTTGGTGGACCAGGTAGTTCCATGCGCTTTAATGAGATGGATAGAAGTCGGTATGGAATGCAAAGAATGATGAACAATGGATTTGGAGGAAGGATGGGACCATCCATGGGATTTATGGCCCCAGGGCCTGCTGATTTCCGTATGAGTGAAAGAGACAGAATGGTATGATTGTTGAAATAATTTATCTAAATCCTTTTTTTTTTTCTAACAAAAGATAGAAGTTTATATAAAACAGGTTAAAATAATAAATGCAAGAATTTGATTATTAATTTATATAGTTCAAATGAATGTGTAGCAAGTAGCTAGCAAGTACAATATAGTAGCATAACAGTAGTCAACTAGCTGCAGAAACTTCAGTGGTAGTAGCTTGACTCTTTTGAATGTTGCTCATTTTTATCTGTTTTTATTTATACGAATGTCACACACAGCAGTGCACTGCATTCTCAATCAACCAGTTGGCTGTTTAACAATTGTACTAGTGTACTTAAAAGGTAAAATAGTTGCAATAATACTATTTCTTACCACAGTTTTTTTTTAAGGTTTGGCTTCTTGTTGGTTGCAATTAGTAATTTTTTTTTGGTTTTTGAAGTTTAAAATATTGGCTACATGTGTTATATATCAATATTTGCAACTTTGCTACAAAATCTAGTGAGAGAGGTTTTATTGCACTTAAAAGTTGGTCACATCATAATTGAATTTTAAAATGTAACTCACCTAGTCTTTAAATAGTAAAGTTTAGTTTCATGGTCCATGTTAAGGTCATAAATGCTCACATCTGATCTTAAGACATAATGATGCTCTCATTATTGGCAAAATTTTTGTTATTTTCTAAATACCCAAGTGTAATTTTTACTCTTAGTTAAAAAAAAACAGTTAACAATAGTACCCCATGATTTTCAGTTGTCATTTACTTTTTTAAGAGAAATGTCCTGAATTAGTAATAAATTATAATTACATTAATTAGGAGGCTACTTACCATTCTTATGCTTGTTAAAATTTTTTGTTTTTTTTCTATGATTATGAACACACTGATGCTTTTTCCAAGTTAATTTAAACCTAGGAATTGAAAACGAGTATTTTGTTCATTAGGTTTTGAAAGCCTAACATGGTGGTTTAAAATTTTAGTAATTATATAATTGTTAGGTTGTGTTTTAAATCATTGTGCTGTAGAGTTAATACATATCCATTCATCTCAAGAGCATTGTTTTGCACTTCTCTACATTTTAATTTTTTAATTCATCCAAGTATTACTAAATTGTTTGATCTTTGAATTGTGTTGATTATCTGAGAAATCACACAATCATTAATTTTAAGATATATTTTGCTGATTACTTGTATATTTGGAATAATTATCAGTCTAAGGTTTTGAATACATTAATTGAAATGTGTAAGAACTTGTTAGTCTTTAAGTAATGCTTTAAAGTCTGGGCAATCTGGCTTATTGTTGTAAATATGGCTTCCTCTCACCCATTAATGTGAAATCTTGAAAAAAAACATTTTTAATTGTTTTTGAGGTATAATCATACAAATGCAATTTTTCAGCACATTATGTTTTGAAAACATCTTAGAATTACCAAAAATATAAAAAGCATTTACACAAAGCAGTCACGTGTGAGTAAAACTGAAGTAATTTGAAAGAAAATTAAAATATTAATTTTATAACTATTCCCTTTGATTATTCCAAGTTTTATGTCTTTTTAACATTTTTGTTATCACATTCCCTTTTATAACAATTTTATATTGTATTTTTATTCATATCCATTGTCATAGAAGAACTTGTTTCTATCCTGTGTTTTTATTCTCTTCTTGGAGTATACAAACACAGATCATAGAAACACATTATTACATGACAAAAGGGTAGTAGAAATCAATCAGGTTACTTCAAATATTTTGCTTCTAGGTCAGACTAGATCTCTATAATGTTCAACTTATGCATACATATGACAAAAAGGTTATTGATGAGTACACTACTGTATTTTTAACCTTGAAATTACATACTTTTTATATCTCTTTCACTACCAGTGGGCTCCACATATTGGGTAATTTTATGTTTTTGAATGCTACGATTCTCTAGTGTAAAGAAATGACCAAAATCACTTGGTGATAGAGTAAAATCATTCATTTTCTATATAAAGTAGAAAGGGAACCTCAGCAGTAATTAGTGGGATTAATGGCAGTATTGTATCTTTTTTTGTGTGTGTTTGTGTGACTTGTAAGTTATTAGGCACCCTATAACCAACAAAGTCATGGACCTATAAGCAGTTTGATGCATAAATAACTTATGTAGTTTTAAACAGTTCAAATGACCCTAATTATAGTTTCAGGATTAACTGAGCTAGAATGTGTATACATTTACTTGTATATTTTTAGAGCAGTAGAACACACATTATTTAATTATTAGAAAAACTTGATAAATATTCTTTTATAGGTTTCATAGGTCATATACTTCTGGAAAAATATGGATTCAGCATGATGGTAAAAAGCAACTGTACAGTAATGATAAACAACTTTAATGCCACCTGTTAAACCTGAAACAGTCCACTTGCATGAATTGTATAATTTTTAGTTACCTTTGTAAAAAAGTTTCCAAACATACTATATGTTTTGTTCCAGGATGGTTTCAGAGACCAGATGCCAAGGAAAAGGTTTGCTCCTAGCAGCCCTGGTGGTGGGCCACGTATGAAGCGACAGAATTTTAGTGGAAACGACAGACGCAAGAATAGAAAGAGAAACAAAGGAGATGATACTGATGCTTCGCCTCAGTCTAAAGAACAAGAAAGTGGAAAGGTAAAATCTAACCTACTATAAAACTGTGTTTTATTAGGATTTTAACTTTAACTAACATGGTGTTAAAATGTGCCCAAATAAAAAATACTCCCAGTGTCATGATTTTTATGTTGTATTAAGATGTTAAATTATTTTAAAGAAATTTTGCAGTATGGAAAATCTTATTGAATAAGTGTTTTCTTTTGGAGTCTAATAATAATATTTCAAGTATGACTTATTTTACTATTTTAATAACAGTTTTATAATTTTTATTCATTAAAAATACCAGGGATCCAAATATTATGTTCTCGCATTCCTGAGGAATTTACTTTTGCTTGAGGAATTTCATTTTTTTAGTTAGCTTTCCCAACTGGGAATGCATGGTCCATCCATATTCCTTTAGTTATCACAATGAAAGTGACCATATTGCATGAATTAAATAAAAAAAACAATTCATGAGGGAATGCAATCTTCCTGATAGCTTTCCCTTGAGTAAATGTAATTTTATTCCATTATTTTTATCCCTGAATACCATATTGAAATCAATTAAAAAAAGTAAACTGGTATATTTTGCTTAGAAACAGTTAAGTTACACCCTTTTGCCTTTAAGCAGCATTATTTATTTTTATTAGATAGCAATTAGTAAATTATAAGGTTCATTAAATTTCACTGGACTTAAGATACTTTATTTTTTATCATTTTTGTAAAAAAAATCTTATTGAAACTGAAGTACTAATAATAACAGCAGGTGGAGCGTTTGATCAGGCTTATTTGGTCTATGAAAATAGATTTTTAGCTCTGCCCAACCAAGTTCTGTTTGTAGCAAACCAACACAATTCAAGTGTTTTAGTTGAGAGGAATTCTTGGAAGGTTTGCCCTCTTGACCCTTATAATGCCTGTGGTGTTTGAATGGGTGATTAGATGTTTCTTAAGTTGAAGTAATTGTTTTGGATATTATTTTTCTTTCATAGTAGTAAATATGCAGTGGTAAAGAACTCGTCCTTGGTCTTGTACATATTTTTTATGATACAAGATGATAGAAAAAAGGAAAGGCTGGAAATAAGACCTTATCCATTTTAGTACTTTCAGCATGTAGAAGCTTATTGTTTTATTTCATGTGTATTATCTCAGAAAAAATTTTCTTCACAAATGAAATACTAATGTATGATTCTCTTCTTTTTTTTATTTATCAACAAGGCAAATACAGTGCTATATAGTTAATGTATACTTTTGTGTTATTTCACTGTTGTAAATATTTAATAAAATGTATCTAAACTATGTTAAAATTAACTAGTACTAAAGAATGAATTTTGTGTAACCTTGCAGTACTGTCTAGTTCTTAACATTTAGCAGGAACATTCTAAAATGTTTAGAATGCTCAAAAATAAGTACATTTATAGCCTAAATAAAAATGGCAGAATTATATTTTCATTTGTAATTAGACCTAAAGTTTAGCAAAAAAAAATGTTTTTGCCAGTTAATAAATTAAAACCATCAATTGTAATTTTAGTATAATTCTAAATCATTATAAGAAAGCTCAGAATTATGTGAGAATTGTCATTATTTTTCTTGATTGAAGACTTAAATGCAGTTTTCATAATATAGCATATGGAACCAGATTTGATAAAACATTGAACAATATAAACATTTGTCAATAGAATTTAACACTTGATGTTGTTTTATTTTAAAGAATACTGAGAATACAGAGAAAACTGAAAGAAAGAATTCAAAAGGCCAAAGAATGCAAAGAGTAAGTATTTATCTGTCCTAATAATTTGTTACAGCATTTAATTTTACATTGATATCCATTTATATGTGTTTGACTTTTTTGTGCATATTTCACATGAATTTGTTTAAACAAGACTATAACCATAACATTTTGGTGATTTAGATATCTTTTTTCTTGTCAACTGGTATGAAACTTATTCATGATCGTGATTCTTACTTGGTATTTAAGAATTGTTGTCCAATAGATGTGTAGTAGTGAGTTCTGATAAAACTAAATCATACCAAAAACAAAATAGTTTTGTGATTGTGAAAAGAGAGAGCAATAATATAGTTGTAATGATATAACAGTACTATTCTGTTACTAGCTGGGAATCCTGGATTTGAATGTGTGATCTTTAGAGATAATAATATACCAGTGGGAAATTTTCTCAACTATCAATTGAACTATAGGCATTATTTGTATTAGCAATTGTCTATGTAGTGTTAGACATATAAACCTTTTCCTTCTCATTTGTGATATTGTGCCTGAAAAAATATAGAAAGAAATGTAAAGTCACTTTGGATAGGAGAAAATTTTCTAAACACTCAAATGTTAAGCAATGATAGGAGCACCATATTGCTATAAAGTAGATTATTTCATGAATTATATTGTTATAATTCACACAAAGCAGATGCGGTATTGCTGCAATAGCTACTTGTATTTGTCATCAAAAATCAGATTTAAAAACTGTCTTGCTTGGTTATTGTGTTGTAGACACTTCTCTCCATATGTAGTATATATAAAAAAAAGTCATACTGTTTTTATTAAACATTTCTTGGTGTGTACTTAGTTGGTGCAAGGAGATCATAATATATTTTTGTTGGGGGGGGGTATTAGATTGAAGACAAAATGTAGATTTCTAAATTATATTGAGGGACTAAGAGTGATATATATGGTTTGGTGTTTGTTTTGACATGTATAACGTTTTTAACATTTTCATATTGCTATTTTAAACATTTTGGGTTTTCCAAGTTTGGAAACGTCTTTTTTTTTTTTTATAAAGTCTTGCTTTAGAATGTTATTAGACTGATCAATTTTTACTTGTAGCTTAAATGATGTAAAATATCAAGTAATGAAATTCTATATTACAGTTATTAGGTCATCAAGAAATTAATGTCGCGATTTGGAACACTTTCATTAACCACCCTCCAAAAAACTTACATCATGTATAATAGTTGAACGAACCACCTAAACATCACATTAGTGTAATCTATATATAATGTGTAAAGTTTAGTATTCTCTAATCCCTTATAGTGATGGCACACAATGAGACACACATTCAGTGTGTAGTGCTGTTTGAATACAGAAGAGAAATAATGCCTCTGTAGCCACAAAGAATATCAAAGAAGTTTATGGAAATTTTTTGAACGTTTGTAAGTGTCAACAATGGTTCAGCAATTTTCCTTCATTGGAGTTTTCCCACATTCCTTAGATGATTATGTATTGTTTCACGAGAGACATGCAATTTCGAGGTCACATCACGGGTGTGTTGCCTTGGGTTAAACTCAACAAGCATCTTCAGAGCATCAATATCAATTCCAACATGTCGGCCCCTGCCATCGCAGTTTTTCAGGCTAAAGTCACTAAAGAAGGTGTTTGGGTGCCTCACGAACTCTCCGATGATAATCATTTCCAACGTGTGAACGTTGCTTCGCCTCTTCTGGCCTGTAATGTGCGTGAACCATTTTTGGACAGAATTGTCACTGGTGACGAAAAATGGATTCTTTATGCGAATATTAAATGCCAGAAACAATGGCTCAGTCCTACACTAAAACCTGGACTCCTTCTACAGAAAATGATGCTTTGTATTTGGTGGGACATCAAGGGAGTAATTCATATCAAACTCCTCAATCCATAGTAAACTGTCAATGCAGAGATCTATAGTCAGCAACTGGAATGTTTAAATCAAGCCCTTCACTCATCAAGGACCAAGGTGGCTAGGGCACTCAACTCGCAATCTGTGGATCGCGGGTTCGATTCCCCATTCCACCAAACATGCTCGTCCTTTCAGCTGTGGGGGCATTATAATGTGACGGTCAATCCCACTATTCGTTGGTCAAGGAGTAGCCCAAGAGTTGGCGGTAGGTGGTGATGACTAGCTGCCTTCCCTCTAGTCTTACACTGCTAAATTAGGGACTACAGCGCAGATAGCTCTCGTCTAGCTTTGCGAAAAATTCAAAACAAAACAAACATCACTCGTCAGTCAGAAAGGTGTTCTTCTTCTCCACAACAATGCATGTTCACATATGGCACGTTTGATACAACACAAGATTATAGAGTCGGGTTGGGAAGTTCTCCCTCACCCACCATATTCTCCAGATATGGCACCATCTGATTACCATCTTTTTTGCTGTATAACCCATAACATTTTGGTGATTTAGATAATCTTTTTTCTTTGCAAACTGGTTAGTGAA